CACGGATGCGACGCTCTCACGCATGGCCTTGGGCTGGGGCGCACGGCTGGGCGCGTGGGGATGGGGGCACACGCGTGTGCTCGCGGCCTGCGGGAGGGGGGTGCGCTCAGCGCGTGTGTGCGCGCACACGTGCACTCGGGGGCACGGGCGTGCACGGATGCACATGTGCCTATATGCCCTTACACACATGTTTATATGCCCTTACACACATGCCTATATGCGCTTACACACGTGCCTACAGACACACGTGTGCCTGTGCACACACATGCCTTTGCATATGCATGCACTCAGACACACACGCTTACACACACATGTGCAGACATGCAGCCGTACATAAGCCAATGAGGGTATGTGCGTGCACTTAGCGTGTGTGCGGACATGCGCTCACGTGCACAGGCATGCACGTATGTACACATGCCTATATGAACTTACACACATGCCTGCAGACACACACATACCTATACACATGTGCACTTATGCACACACATGCATTTGCATGTGCATGCACTTGTACACACACGCTTGCACGCACATGCAGACATACATGCCCCAATGAGGGTATGTGCGTGCACTTAGCGTGTGTGCGGACATGTGCTCATACGCACGTGCACGCACATATGCACACATGCCTATATACCCTTACACACATGCCTGCAGACACATGTACATGCCTACGCACACTTACACATGCACTTATGCACACACTTGGACTTATGCACACACATGCATTTGCATGTGCACGCACTTATACACACACACACGTACACACACATGCAGACATGCATGTACATAAGCCAATGAGGGTATGTGTGTGCACTTAGCGTGTGTGCGGACATGCACAGGCATGCACGTATGTACACATGCCTATATGAACTTACACACATGCCTGAAGACACACACATACCTATACACACGTGCCCTTATGCACACACATGCCTTTGCACGTGCATGCACCTATACACACACGCTTGCACACACATGCAGGCATACATGCCCCAATGAGGGTATGTGCGTGCGCTTAGCGTGTGCACAGACATGCTCATGTGCACGTGCATGAACATATGCACACATGCCTATGTGCACTTACAGACACTTACACACGTGCCTGTGCACACTGACACACACATGTGCTTACGCACACACATGTATTTTCTTGTGCACTTACACACACGCTGACGCACACATGCAGACATTCATACCCCAATGGGGTATGCACATGTGCACACGTGTGTGCTCTGGCAGACACACGTGTGCTCACACACCCACAAGAAGGCACCAGCTGCGCACACGCTCCTCCAAAACACGCGTGTGCACGCGTAGACATGCGCCAGCGCAGGCGGGCTGCAATGAGGGTGCGACACGCATGGGCACCCCCCGCGAGAGGCGCACACACACACACACACACGCACACACATGCATACCCCGATCCAGACAACACGGACATGCATCCACACGCGTGTGCACATGCACAGCACCCCAAATCCAAACACGCAGCCCCCACCACCACCCTGTCCCCCCACCCCGGGCGCCGTGGGTTCGATCCCAGCCCTGGAAGCCGCCCTGTCCCCTGGGGGGGGGACAACACGACACCCTGTGGTCCTTCCAGCTCCCCCCGGGCCCCCGCGGTGGTGCCGAGGGGCTGGAGCCCGGCTTGGCTCCGTGGGTGGGGATGAGTCAGGGCCGTCGTCGGTGTATTTTGGGGATAACACCCGAACCCTCGGCCCCATCCTGCCCGACACGGGGCGTTCCCAGCGCCCTCGCCACCCCGTTCGCGCCTCGCCCTGCTCCAG